TCCCTTGGCGTATATCACAAATCAATAGTTGTTACCTCCAATTCTGTGCCAAGTCGGAGAAGGCAAACCATACCCAATTTTCCTATCCTTTGCCTGTGGCAGACATTGCTAATTAATCACTCTTTTACTGTAGCATTTGTACAGGCTGCTGCCCGTGGTTATCTCTAGTCCCTTGATGTGACAGACATTGCTAGTTGATCACTGTATTCTCATCCCTTTGAACTTTAGAATTCTTCTGAACACACGGTCCCAGTGTGGGTCATCAAACTGACTGTAACCACCCTTGGAGCTATTGCTCAGTGCTCACTGGCCCTTTCTGAGCCTAGCTCTTGTTATGGGTAAAGTGCAGATTATACCTTTGTGGAGTTGTTGGGGACCTTGGGTGTGTAAAATGCGCAGCATGCAACACCCTAGACCCCATCTGTGGCAGATATCACCAGTCGATCATCGAGCTTCTGAATCCTTCCTAACACAGAATCACCAACAGCTTATGTGGTGGCCTGGCCTCAAGCAGGCCGGTGCACTGTCCAAGGTCCCGTTTCTCATCTGCCACACGAACTGCGACTCCCTACGTCACAGGCTTGGCCCAGGGATCCAGGATGATCCTCCCAGCACCCTGAGAATTCAGGGCTGGTCAGATCTAAGGTGAAAGAGATCTCGCCAGTGTCAGCTCCCTCCAACCTCTATGGGCCTCTGTTTACCCTGCCCCAGCCTCGGGGAGTCACAGCCATACCTGTGAATGTCGTTAGGCATCCGTTCTCTGCGAGCCCCGTGCTGGAGCTCAGGAGGACAGTGGGGGACAAAAGAGAGATCCGAACCTGATGGAGCGCATGAGGGAGCTGGGGAAAGATGGTTGTAATGGGTCTGAGGGGCTATTTGGAACTAAGAGTAGCAGAAATTGCTGCAGAGACTCCAGGGTAGAGGGGCTGGCAACTGCAGAAGTTGGAATGGGGTCCATCCTGGAGAGGCAGTCTCCGGCCACTAGAAAGAGACTCAAGAGGAAGAATTGGGACAAGAGAGAGTGGGTCACAGTGGGACCACTGAGTGGGAATGATGGGGTTGTTTGTTTCAACTGCTGGAGAGGGGAATGGTCCAGAGCTGGTTCTGGGCTTGGGCTGTGTGCGTTTGATTTCAGCTCAACTTCTCTTCAGCTCAGTGGCCTCAGGAAAGTTATCCATCCTCTCCGAGCCTTGGTTTTCTCAGCAGTAAAGTGGAGAAGAGGGTGTCTAGGTAGAAATGGGGTTGATGGGATGGTTCACATTAAGTGCTTTAGACAAGATGTGGTGAGCTCTGGTTGTAATTAATATTGTATGTGTATGTAACGTGTGCTACTATGGTTTCTGTATGATACTACTTAATGATGCCAAGCAGTACTGTATACTGTAACTATCACTAGTATTGTTACCATTATGGTGGTATCTGATGTCAGCCTGAGAGTAGAAAGGCTCTTAGCACTTGTGTTTGTTCCAAAACCTGTCCACTTCATCCCTTGAGAGGAAGTGAGCACCCCATCAGGGGAGGTATTCAAGGAGGCACCTTCCTGCCTTGTGTGGGAGGCAGGGACTAAGCTACCTCCATTCCCTTCTGGCCACCAACTCCTCTTCTCTCCTGTCCAGAGGAGGATGCAGCCATCCCCATCACAGTCCCCGGCCGCCTGCCAGTCTCCCTGGCAGGTCACCCCGTGGTGGCGGCCCAGGCAGTAGCAGCCCAGGCGGCCGTGGCAGCACAGGCGGCTGCCCTGGAGCAGCTTCGGGAGAAACTGGAGTCTGGGGAGCCTCCCGAGAAGAAGATGGCCCTGGTGGCAGAGGAGCAGCAGCGGCTGATGCAGCGGGCACTTCAGCAGAACTTCCTGGCCATGACGGCACAGCTGCCTATGAGCATCCGGATCAACAGCCAAGGTACCACCCCGATGCTCAGACCCTCTGTGCTTCTTGCATAAGAGAAGGGCCTCGTAGCCAACATATGTAAAGAGTGCCTACAGATCAAAAAAAAAAAAGGTAAACAGACTAGTACAAGGAATGGGCAGCTGGGACTCATCATGCATACTCAGTCGTATCCAACTGTGCAACTTCATGGACTATAGCCTGCCAGGCTCCTCTGTCCATGGGATTCTCCATGCAAGAATACTAGAGTAGTTTGCCATTTCCTCCTCCTGGGGATCTTCTCAACCCAGGGATTTAACCCATGTCTCCTGTGGCTCCTGCATTGGCACATGGATTCTTTGCCACTGAGTCACCTGGGGAACACAACTTATAAACTAGTAGGAAAAACTGTTTAACTCCATCTCTTTGGGGCTCTGCAAGTTAACTAGGGGATTCCATTTTTCATCCATCAGAGTTTATTTATTTATTTATTTATTTATTTATTTATTTTCATCCATCTGAGTTTAATAATATCAAATGTTGGTCAGGATGTGGTGGAAATGGGCCCCCTTGGTCCTACTGGTGGATGTGTAAACAGGTGACAACTTGGCAGTCTTTTTTTTGGCTGTGCCTCGGAGTATGTGGGATCTTAGTTCCCTAACCAGGGATCAAACCTGAGCCTGCTGCATTGGAAGCATGGAGTCTTAACCACTGGACTACCAGGAAAGTCCCGGGGGGAATCTTTTTTAAAGATAGAAGATGTACTTGCCCCAGAACTGGGTGATTCTGCTTGGTATCTAAAGCAGAGCTGATGCAAGGGCTCTAGGAAACTCATGTGTCCAAGGATGTTCACTGCAGATGTTTGCACGATGTCCCATCAGTAGGGGAATGAATGAACCAAGGCTGGAATACTCTGGCCATTAAAAAGAATGACATGATTTAGGCTTCCCCGGTGACTCAGACAGTAAAGAACCTGCAATGAAGGAGATCCAAGTTCGATCCCTGGATCGATAAGATCTCCTGGAGAAGGGAATGGCAACCCACTCCAGTATTCTTGCCTGGAGAATCCCCATGGACACAGGAACCTGGCGGGTTACAGTCCATGGGGTCGCAAAGAGTAGGACATGATTGAGTGACTAAGCACAAACACATTGCTTAAGACTTGTAATCCTGCTGTACACCTGAAAAACTTAGCACTGTAAATCAACTAAACTCCAATAAAAATTATTAGAAAAAGACTTCCCTGGCATTCCAGTGGCTAAGACTTTCCACTTCCACTGCAGGGGGCACAAGACTTCCATCCCTGGTTGAGGAGCTAAGATCCCACCTGCTTTGCAGTGAAGCCAAGAAATTTAAGGAAAAAAAATTTTTTTTAATTATTAGGGGAAAACAAGAGTTATAATCATGCAAAAAAAACAAATTTGAGACAAATACATTCTTATTCAATAAGTATTTGTTGAATGTCTACTGTGTTTGCTGCTGAGAGATCAGGTCTGAAGCTCTGTGAAGCTTCACATCTGGTGGGGATGACCCACATGATACAGCTCATTGCAGGGGGGCTGGTTTATGGTGACAAAGGGTGTTTTTTCTTCTTCCCACAGCCTCCGAGAGCCGCCAGGACTCGGCTGCGAACCTGACCAGCACCAACGGCAGCAACAGTATTAGCATGTCAGTAGAGATTAATGGAATCATGTACACAGGTAGGCTGGCTTGGCGCGCACGCTCACCTTGACCATGTCTGGAATCCAGAGTCCTGGTTGCCCCTCGGGTGTGGCTGGCTTGAGCCCAGAGCTCTTCCCTCATGAGACTAGTGTATGAGCGATAGTCTGTGTCTTATACTTGGGCAGGTGCTCAGCAAGTACTAAGTAAGTGCTCAGCATGGTCATATCAGGTGTTGTGTACTTCAAAAATAGTGTGGTCAGACCCATGACTCCTGTAGGCCACCAGGTGGCGATGTTGACACAGAACAGCTCTGTTTCTGTAAAGACCCCATGACGGGAGGCTTGAGGAGGTGGTGGTGTCCTGCGGGAGAGGGACTTTGCTGGGAATCGCTCAGGAATCGCTCGCTCCTGTCATGTGATCTTTTACATTCTCCACGACTTGTCTCTCCTCCTGTCCTTGCACCAGGAGTGCTGTTCGCCCAGCCACCGGCCCCCACGCCACCCTCTGCTCCCAGCAAAGGTGGAGGCGGCAGCAGCAGCCGGGGAGGAAACAGCGGGACCAACAGCGGCAGCAGCAGCAGTGCAGGCAGCCAGGCAGGTCCAGCAGGGATGTCTGCACCCCCCACATCTACCTCAAACAACTCATTGCCTTAACCGCAACACTCCCCACCCTGGGAACCTGCCAGATTGGGCAGGGAATCCAGGTGGGCCAAGCAGGGGCTGGGATGGCGGAAGATACGGGTGGGGAGGGGAGGTATCCACAGAGGAGCGACAGCTTAACGCCAAAAAGAAAAGAAAAATATATATACACACATATATATATATATATATATATATAAAGAAAATTTAATAAAACAGGGGAAAACCAAGGAACACTTGAATTACTCAGGTTTCGGACATTCAGAGATGAATTGTGAGAATATCAAAGGAAATTAGAAATGAGGGAGGCAAATGTTTACTAGGGCTCTCCTGCAGCCCTGGTGGACCCAATGTGGACTGGTGTCTGGTTTCAACAGGCCAATCCTGTTTACCTCATACATCCCTGCACTGTGTTTTTTCATTTTTATCTGTTTTTTTCTTTGCTTTTTTTTTTCGTCTGTTTGTCACGCACTCACCACACCCAGCTCCTTGTGTTGAATGAAACCCCTGAGCCAAGATCAGTTGAATTTTGTTGTTGTTGTTGCTTTCGGGAACTTTGTTGTTGTTTTTTTAAAAGAAATAGTGAAATTCAAACTATAGGGTTTTTAAGAGGTTTTAGGGGTTTTGTTTTGTAAATATTCTATTTTATTCTTGGGGGAAGAATCAAACCTAGGAAAAGGATATATATATCTATATATTTGTGTTCATTCAGGGAAACTGGACTTGAAAAAGAAAAAAAAAAGGCCAAAAAAAAACCAAGTAATACCCTTTATTTTTCCCATGACTGATTTGGGTTCGGTTGTGCATTTCCTGTGGTGCAGTGGGCCCAGGACACTGGATGCCTAGGCTGGAGTCAGCAGAGCCGATGAACTCAGGTGCTGTGGGCTGGGCTGGGCTGGGGGTGCATGGCGGGGTCCTGGGGCAAGAGGGGCAGGGATGCGGAATGCTAGATGTCACCGGACTTGTATTTCAGGCTGGGCTCCTCAGTCAGGAGCCCCGAAGTCTTAACTCAAAAGGAGAAATTGCTGGGGTGGGGGGTGCTCCCCCGCCAGCCCCAGGCTCCTGTCTCAGGGATGAACACAGCCTGGGGGTGCCGTGTCTGGGGATGCCATGTCCGGGGATGCCGTGTCTGGGGGTGCCATCCGGGGACGCCGTGTCCGGGGACACCGTGTCTGGGGATGGGGGTGAGCCGGCCTTAGCTCAGGGTGGGGTTTCTGGGGCCATGGCACCCTGAACCCCCTCACCCCACCCCACTCCCATTCTCATCTCTTTAACTTTGTCCCGCTATACTTGCTGGGAGCCCTGCAGTGACTCAAGGAACTACACACAGGCCGAGGGGGGGGCCACCCTCCTACCCCCCCCACCAACCCTGTTCCCCAGGTCAGAAGGCAGGCGTTGGTGGGATACAGCTGGGGGTCGGGGGTGCCGGTAAGATGTAGCACGCAGCCTGCACATCCATCCGCCCTAAGCCCAGGCGCGCTTTTGGGCCCAGTTTCCTTCCGTCCTCAGGACCAGGTAGTGTTGGGGGGGGCTGTGCCTCCCTCCCGCAAGGCAGCGCTTTTTCACATCCCTCTGAGGGTGGGGGTGGGCTGGGAAGAACGCAGCTGTTCCCAGGTGAGCCTGGAAAAACTAATTAGACCCCGGGAGCCCGACCTAACGAGCCCGGAGGGGCGGCGGGGCTCCGCCAGCAGCCTGCTCTCTCCCAACCCAGGTGTCATCTTGTTGCCTTGGAGACCTTGGGGGTGGTCCTGAGCCCCCAGTCTCGCCGGGTTTGCCTTCCTGTGGGGTGAGGTGTGTCTCTGGGAGGGAACCCATTTCTTTGGTGTATCTCAGGGTCGCTGACGCCCCCCACCCTCCCAGGAGAGGGTGGCGCAGGGCTTGGGTCTTTCTTCCTGCTTCTGGAAGGGTCTCCCCTCCTGTCGTCTCTCACTGCAGCGGCACAATCATTGTGGGAGGGGGATCCTTTTGTTCCCAGACACAATCTGCCCCCCTTGTTTGCCATCCCCCCTCTCCCTCTGCTCTTCCCTCACCTGACCCCAGGAGTGTGGGCGGCTGCCCTCTGCCCCCCACCCGCTTCCTGCCGGCATCGTAAAGGCGGGTGTCTGCTGCGAGTTTCTTTCTACCTCAGGTCTGACTCTTGATGCCAAAACCCCCGCCTGGGTGCCCACCTCCCTAGCCCCCAGCTCAGGGTCCCACGCATGCGTGCTGTTGCATCGACGTATATAGCGGGGCCCTGGCATCGGGGGACAGAGCATCGTGCAGGCAATGGGCCAACCCCCCCACCCCCCGTGTCTGACTCAGGGTGTGCCTGTGGTGCTGGGCAACGCTGATGATTGTAGGGGAGGGGGCATGGGCCCAGGATGGGGGGACCCACCAGCCATGGAAATAGCAGGGGGTCCTGGGGCCAGGAGAGACTTCGCCCTCCAAGGGGCCCTGCCTCTGCCTAGGTTGCTCCAATCAGTACCCCCACACTCCCAGCCCCACCGCTGCCTATCGGTGTAGGGTGCACTTAGCACCCCTTATGCAAACCTGGGGGGACCGGGGTTGAGTGCTGTTCATTCCTGAATAGGTGGAGCTTAGCAGCATGCCTTGGATGGGGGCCCCCAAACTCAGGGTGGAGAGGGGCTCGAGGGGTACCCCTGCTCTGCTGATGCTTGTGGACGGGCTGCTTCTAGAACCTTCCTTGTGACCTCCAAACTGGCCGCAGGTCTGTAGCTGTCCAGCTGGGGGCGGGCGGGGGTGGGGGGCGGGCACGGGGTGGCGGGTTGGTTTGTAATAGTTGTGCGTTTGTACAGTCACTTTTCTCACTGTTAGCATTTTTGCCCACCACCATTTTTTTCCCTTAATTTTGCTTCTGCATTTTTTTCTTGGCAAACACGACTTCAGCCTTTCATGCCTGACTTGTGAAATTTCAGTTTCTCTGGGGTTTGTCAGAAGGCGTGGGGAGCACGCCTGAACTCAGGTTAAAGGGAAAAAAAAACTTCCAATAAAAAGACGTAAAACTACTCTCTACCTCTGGCCGGGCTCAGCCTGTCGTACCTTGGCTGCGGCAGGGCAGCCCGTGACGATTTATTTCAGTTTTTGCAGGATATTCAGGTATTAAAAGGAAGGGGGGAAAAAGACAAAAAAAAAAGTGTGATTTTGAAATTTAAAGGAACACTGAAAGTTTACATTTTATAACATTATTATGCAGATTGTATTTAAACTTCAGAAATATTTAAGACAATTGTAACCCTGTAAAGCTGATGAAATATTAAAACAAGACAAAACACTTCTGACTTTTAACAGAAAACTGCTCCTCTGGTGGTTTTTTTGGGCGTCGCCCCACCCCTACTCTGCTCCTGGTGGCAGGAGGCTGACGGCCTGATGGTGAGGTCCCCCAGTGGGGACTGTGCCCCCCATGGCCACTAAGCCACGTCCCCCATGTCCTCCAGTGGGTGCAGTGGTGGGGGGAGGAGGGGACAGTGGATGGCCCACCCCCAAGCCAGCAGTGCCTGCCCCTTGTGGGTGAAATGTAGGGACCCCCACACACCCACCAGGAGGAGCCTAGGCAGTCTTGGCGGCCATATGGGTCCACCCTGCACCCACCCCCCAGACTTCCGGCTGTGGTTCAGTCCACACTTCTACACTTGACCTAAGGACCCAAAGTAAGCAGACCAAGAGTCGGACTCAGCCCTGGGACCCTTGGGCTCAACACACCTGGAAGGGAAGCCCGTGTGCATTTTCTGAGCATCCGTTCCTCATCCACCTCTCGCCCCCACCCCATGAGCAGAGGACCTAATGGCCTCAAGGTCAGTATGGCCAAATAGTGGGTAGGACTGGCCTCTTGCGACCTGGTTCCCTGGCATCGGCTGGCCTGGGCCGGTCCCTCCTGCCTGGGTCAGCCCCCAAGTCTGCATTGAGTGAGGAAAAACAATTCACTCCTGGTGCACGCGCCTCCCCATAGCCCATTCACGTGGTTCCAGCCTCTGGGAACCAGGGGGACCTGTGGAACTCAGAGGACAGGTGTTAACCCACCTGTCTCTCAGAGCCCCTCTGCCCTCCCCCACCAGGGAGGTAAAGGAAAAGTGATTTTTTTTTTTTTAAAGGCCCTCTGGGCAAACTGGATCGGCCAGTCCAGCATCTTCATTCCTCCGAAGAGGCCCAGAGAGGGGCCCAGAGGCCGTGAGGTTACACAGCCCCGAGGCTGGGGAGGGAAGCAGGGAGGGTGTCGGGCCCCACCCCCTCCTCCCCAGCCTCTCAGATCCCCGCGGAGCCTCCCACTCCGTGCCTGTGAGTAGGCCGGGGAGCCTCCCTGGAGGTGAAACTCAAAACCACGTCTGATCAGCAGAGTTGTGGGAGCCAGGCCAAAGCCCGAAGAAGAGGGCTTTCGCTTGAGTCATCAGCCTTCCGCAACGCCATTAGTGCACTTAGCAGGCTAGGCGCTGGATTTGAGCCTGGGTTCTCGGTCCCCACCCCCAACCCACAAGAACCCCCCTCCCCCGGGCTCCGGCTCCAGGTGGGCAGGGCGGGAGATGGGGCAGAGTGTACCCTGAGCCTGCAAAGAGAAGGCACTCAATACCCGAGTAGGGAATAAAGAACCGGGTTGGGGGGCTTAGACCCAGAGCTGTTCTGTAGACCTCTGTGCCTCGGTTTCCCCGTTCTGCCCCGCCCCTACCCTTATGTCTTCAGGCCTAGGAGTGTTAGTGGATCTGGGACGGGGCGCCAGGCTGGCACCAAGGAGGTCTGGCGACTGGGTGGTCCGAGAGGCCCCCAAAGTGTGGCTTTTGTCCTGGCCTTCTGACACAACTGGTCTGTCCTCATTCCGGAACCAGGCTGGGGGTGGGGTGACCTCTGACCTCACACATCAGCCGGGCTGAGCTGGGTCCCCGGGGAGGGGAGGAGGGGAAAGGGAAGGAGGGGAGGGAGGGGGCCCAGGACTGCACCGCAGCTGCCTGCCCTCCAGCGGAGCCCTGGCCTGCCCAGGCCTGGGCTTCCACGTCTTCGACTTCTGTTTGTAACGGGTCCCCCTGCGACCTGCACCTGCAGGGCCCACCTTTCCTCCTGGAACCCCGGTGCTTGGCAACTTAGCCAGGGAAGACCTCCCCAGAGGAGCATGCAAACCCAGTGTTCAAATCAGCATTCCTGACTGGCCCCTGGGGAAACTGAGGCCCAGAGCTGGGCAGTGACTTGCCCCGATGCTCAGAAGGAGGACTGGGTTCAAGCCCTGAGCTGGTGGTTGGAAAAAGGCCACCTTGGTCCACCCCTGGGAGCTTCAGGGTGTCACCATTCTCAACTGGGGTTCCACAGAATGCCCAAGATTCAAAGAAAGATGTGGTTTGGGGAAAACAGTATCCAGAAAATGTAAATAAGCATTCAAGGTGTTTCATTTTTCTTATTCACATTAAGAACAAAAAAAGTTTGAGGAACTGGGTTTCTAGCTCCAATTCATCTTCAGACTAGGTAGTACTTGCCTCAGTTTCCCCTTTTGGAAATTTCTGGAGATTTGGACACCCACCTCTCTCCAATTTACCAAAGTCCTTCAGTTTCACATTCCACACACACCCCCTAGCTTCCCTGGGGTTAAAAAAAACCCAGGTCCCTATGTCCAGCTCCCCCCTCCACGGTCAGCCTCAAGGCCTTTGTTCGCGCGTCTGTCCCTCTTTCTCTTCAGGACACCTGTTCAGGGAAGCCCTTCCGCCCGATCAGGCCGGTCCCCCTGACACCCCGTTACGCGCCCCTCGCCGCTCCCCGGTTGCTGCTTGTTGCTGTTGGTCCCCCGCTCGGTGAATGGCTCGAGCCTGCCACCTGGCGACCCGGCCTGGGCCTGCGGAGTCCCCGGCTCCGGCGCCGCGCCTACTCCAGGAAGGCCCCCTCTTCCCCATCCTCTCCTCCTAGATCTCGCGGCGGGGTTGGGGGACGTACCCAGAACCCAGTCCCCATATTGCTTCTGGATACACCTACCAGGACAGGCATGAGACCGCGACTTTTGAGCGAATTCTCCGTTTTCAAAGGTTGGCAACTAATTCCCTATTTAAAATGTTTTGTTTGAGGATACAGCCTGCAGCCGGCAGCTCTGACACGAGGTTAAGTGCTCCCTAGACCTCACGATTTGTTCGACCTGCACCAAGTTGCTGAAATTAAAATTTGGGTTTTGTGGCCCCCGAAGAAGCGAGGTCCAGGGGGAAGCGGACCGTGGGTCCACAAACACACATCTAACTGGCTATGTTTTGAACGCCAGCTACATGTTTTGTTGGTTTCCCTGGTGGCTCAGCCGGCAAAGAATCGGTCCGCAATGCAGGAGACATGGGTTCGATCCCTGGATATGGAAGACCCCCTGGAGGAGGGAATGGCAACCCACTCCAGTATTCTTGCCGGGGAAATCCCATGGACAGAGGAACCTGGTGGTCTACAGCCCATGGGGTCGCAAAGAGTCGGACACGAGTATCACTACCTGTTATGTTAGGAGCGTAGCCTGTTTTACGTGCAATGTCTCGATCCTATAAGGTCGGTACTCAGTATTTGTACAATTAGAAGAACCATAGTCTGCGAAATTGCGTGCTTGGCCAAAAGCGCTCATTGCAAACCAAGCCAGACCTCCAGGCTCTGGAGCTACTAACTGTTCTCAGGAGACGCTAGGCCTTGGTTTCGCCATCTATTTCTGGAAGAAGTATTCTAAGAGCTCTAACCAGGCGGGGCACCTCTTATTTTTCGCGGAGCAGGAGGATAACTCAGCTTGGATCTAGGGCAGCCCCCTCGCTGAGGCGTGTGCGCACGCGCAGGACAGCCGGCCGCCGAAAGCCAGGCAACCTGTGCGCCGCTCTACCCGGCACGGCGCAGTCGCCCGCGTCTCGCTGATGGTGACGCACGTCCGGGGCGGTGGAGAAGGCAAGATGGCGGCGCCCATGGAGGTGGCCGTGTGTACGGACTCGGCGGCCCAGTTATGGAGCTGCGTTGTGTGGGAACTGCACTCTGGCGCCAACCTGCTCACGTACCGCGGAGGCCAGGCCGGGCCCCGCGGCCTGGCGCTACTCAATGGCGAGTACCTGCTGGCCGCACAGCTGGGCAAGAACTACATCTGCGCCTGGGAGCTTCAGAGGAAGGTGCGGCGGCGTGCTCCCGGTTGCCGTTGGCGAGCTGCGTGGCGCTCGGGTCGGGGGAAAGGGCGGTGGGGGCTACATGGACCCTGAGCCGGGGTAGGAGTGGGTAGTCCCGTTAAGGTGTTCTGCGCAAGCGCAGGTCTGGGGTCTTTGGGGGTAAGGTAGGGAGTCGCGCGCCCGTCCTTATTGCGAGCTGTTAGGGCGCTGCGCGCACACGCCGAGCTGAAAGTGGGCCGCTGCTTCGTGGTGGGGGTGGGGTTGCTATCGGTGCGCACGCGCACAAGGAGGGCCGGGGTGGGTCCCTTGGGGTCCCTGCGCGGCAGCCGGTGCGTTAGGCGAGAAGTTTAGTTGAAAAGAGTTTGCATTAGGGGTTCCGTCGGTAGCCTGAGCTTGGAGGGTGAAGGTCCGAGGCTTGAGGGAGCCCGCTGAAGGGTGACTCGGGAGTCTAGTGCATTTAATCGTCCCCAAAGACGCTACCTTTTGCCATTAGGGCCCACGGTCAGAGAAACTTAAAAATGCAGCCCTTGACGCTTCTTGCCGCCTGCTTTTGCCAGCTGACATCTCTTTGGGTGGGTTCTGTGTTCTGGCTCTTCCTGGTGTGGTCCACAAACTTGAGAAGTTGTTCCATTTTAGAGATCTGGAAACTGAGGCTCAAGGTCCCAGGCGACACTTTAGTGGGGATGAAGGACTAGGGCAAAAGTCAAGTGGCCATTGGGTCCTCCTGGACCCTCTGTGCCTTCCCCACCCGAACACCCAGGGGTCCCTCTGACCCCCAGTCCAGAGATGTGCTGTCTTGCTTTGAAAGAGATTCCACAGGCCTCCACCCCCACAATGCATAGCATCAATTGGAGCAGATCCCTCTGCTGAACCATGGATTTGCTCACAGTATCCCCTCCTCCGCTTCCCTCCCCACCCCCACTTTCTCTCTGCTCCTGGACTTACCAGCTGTCTCCTGCCCCTTCCCCAGCTTCCTCCCCCATGAAACTCAGAGGCCTTTTCTGTCTCTAGGACCAACTTCAGCAGAAGATCATGTGTCCCGGACCAGTCACCTGCCTTACCACATCACCCAATGGCCTCTACGTCCTGGCAGGGATCTCAGAGAACATATACCTGTGGGAGGTGAGCCCAGGGACTCAGAAACACGAGGGTGGGCTCAACCTGTGGGTGAGCTGCTGGTCAGACCACTGAGCGGGTTGTCACCGACAGGCTGTTATGTTTGGGGGGACACTCACCTCCGTTCCTGTGCATAGTGCAGTGTCCAAGGTCCCAGGACAAAGCCTTTCCTGATCCCTGCCCGGCAACCAGTTGCAGAAAGGAGAGGGAGCTGGCAGTCTCACTTCCAGCTCTTAAACCTCACTGCGCGATTCTGAAACTAGGAAGCCTTGCCCTAGTGCAGGGAGAGAAACTGAGGCACTCACCCTGTGGTAGAGATCCTCCTCTGCTGTGGTTAGGCCAGTGGAGGGGGTGTGGGCAGATTTCAGCAGCCGGTCCACCATCATTAGACGGTTCCGGTGGCTTGCCAGTGGTTGGCCCTTCTTGATGGGGGAACAGTCTGGGGTCGGTCTCCCCTGCAGGTGGAGGTTGCCTGGCCTGGACGACCCACCCTCTAGGAGAATTCCTGGCCAGCTTGCGTCATGACCACAAGGGGCGCCCCACAGGGCTGCTCTGGCTTGGGCTCTGACTCCTGTACTCTGGACCTTCTCCCTTCTGCGGGATGAGCGCCTGGGTGTCTGTGTCAGGTGTCCACATAGAGACAGTGGTCACCTCATTCCCATGTCACCTCATCTGAATGGATTATATCTCCAAAGACTATATTCAAGTGAGGTCACAGGTTTTGGAGGTTGGGGTGTGGACTCTTTATCTGGGTGACGAAGTTCATCCTACCACAGCATCTCTGCCCTCTCACCCCTGCCCAGCCCTTCCCTGGTGTCCCCGCCACCAGGGACCTCCTCTCCTGGAGCCCAAACTCCCCCTCCCCCATGGCTTCCAGAATGAGCCCCACCCCCACCCCCAACTCGGAAGGTGGTCACTTGCGGCTATGACCAGCTTGTCACAGGAGCTGTGAAGCCCTGGTGCAGGGGCCGTGGGGGTAGGCTCTCCTCGCAGGCCCCCCCACCAAGCCGGTTCTCCTCCCCCCAGGTGTCCACAGGGAACCTTCTAGTCATCCTGAGCCGCCACTACCAGGACGTGTCATGCCTGCAGTTCACGGGGGACAGCAGCCACTTCATCTCAGGGGGCAAGGACTGCCTAGTGCTTGCCTGGAGCCTCTGCAGGTAGCACCATGGCCCCGGTGGCTCCTCGTCCAGCTGTGGCCTCTGGGCAGGCAAGGCCTTGACCATGAGGGCGGGAAGCAAGGGGCTCTGGGTCAGGCGGGCTGGTACCAGGAGGACCGGGGGCCGGGCTACCACCTGGAGATGAGGTGAGGGCGTGGAGATGCCCGCTGAGGTCCGCCCAACCCCTCCCCAAGCGTGCTGCAGGCAGATCCCTCCCGGACCCCTGCCCCCCGGCACGTCTGGTCTCGCCACACCCTCCCCATCACAGACCTGCACTGCGGCTTTGGGGGGCCCCTAGCCCGGGTGGCCACCGCCTCGCTGGACCAGACAGTGAAGGTAGGACCCTCACCCTGCCACGTCCCCCGCAGTGGATGTGAGCCGAGCCCAGCTGGCAGGTTCCTGGCCCAAGGGAGCCAGCACATAATGTCCTCCTCCAAGCCAGCGGCTCCAGACAGCTCTTGATCCCCCGACGCTTCCAGCCTCAAGGACGGCCAGAGGGTGGACAGTCTAGGCCTGTGTCGGCTTGGAAATTCCCACTTGGCCACTGCTCCTGGTGGCTCCTGACCAAGCCTTAGGGGATTCAAGGGCGTCCTCGGGTCTTTGTCCCTGGTTGGGGCATTCAGGGCTGAACTGCTGGGGGCCTGGGGGCTGACAGTCACTGAAGTAGGTGGTGGATAGGTGTCCCTGAGCCCCTGAGATCCCTGTGGCAACAGTGCTTGTCGGAGGTTCTGTGGGACCCAGCCTCCCAACTGGTCCTTGGCTCTCACACCGCCACTCACCCCCAGCTGTGGGAGGTCTCCTCAGGTGAGCTGCTGCTGTCTGTACTCTTTGACGTGGGCATCCTGGCCGTGACCATGGACCTGGCTGAGCATTACATGTTCTGTGGTGGCAGTGATGGCTCCATTTTCCAAGTCGATCTCTGTACCTGGGTGAGTGTCTGGGGGCAGCAGGGTCAGGGGACGGGTTTGGGGCTAAGGCATTGCCAGGCCCCTGCTCACCTGCCCTCCTGCATCTGCAGCCCGGGCAGAGAGAGAAGAGCTTCCAGCCGGAGCAGGAGCACGGGAAGGTGTTCAGAGGGCACAGGTGCGGGGACCAGGCAGGGACAGGGGTTGAGGGGGGTTGCTGCCCTGGGGCACAAATGCGGGCCTGGTCCTGCTGCTGCCCCGCCCCCAGCCCGAGCATCCCAGCTGATGCATTCATCATCAGGAACCAGGTGACCTGCCTGTCGGTGTCCACGGACGGCAGCGTGCTTCTGTCGGGCTCCCACGATGAGACCGTTCGCCTCTGGGATGTGCAGAGCCAGCAGTGCCTCAGGACGGTGACCCTCAAAGGTGGGCGTGGCCACCACCACCACTCCCCAACCCCAGGCAGGGCAGAGGAAGGACTCAGGGCCTGCCTCGTGGAGGGCACAGCCTGGCTGAGGGTGGTCCTGACCACCTCACCCACCCCACCCCCAGGCCCCGTGACCAACGCCTGCATCATGCTTGCACCCGTCAGCATGCTGAGCTCCGACTTCAGACCAGGCCTGCCCCTGCCCCACTTCAACAAGCACCTGCTAGGTGCAGAACACGGGGACGAGCCGCACCACGGGGGCCTCATGCTTCGCCTAGGCCTCCACCAGCAGGTATGCCTCACCTGGCAAGGACAGGGCACCCTTTCCCACTGAGACTGGGCTCTGTCTGCTGTCTCTCTGCCCTGGAACTACACAAGACTGCAGGGGCTTCCATACCCCTCCAGGGGACTTGATGGATGCCTGTGCCCAGCATTGGCTACTGGCCCAGAGCAGTGCGCCCAGATGGTGTCCGGCAAGAGACAAATGGCCTGGAACAACAGCAGGGTCCAACCATTTTGCCAGGCCAGCAGCCTGTCCCCACCAGCTGGAGGCACTGGCTGACTGCCTGGCCATCCCTGGTACTGGCTGACTGATTTGGCTCTTGTGTTTCAGGGGTCAGAGCCCAGCTATCTGGAGCGGATGGAGCAGCTGCAGGCGGTGATGTCCAGCACACTGGAGAAGGTGGGAGGAGGAGCAACCCCAAGATGGGGAAGGGGCAGGGCCCAAAGATGGGAGAACGAGCCTGGAGGGGAGAGGCCCAGGGTGGGCTAGGGGCTGGGTTCAGGATGGCCAGGCTCACCTCAGGTGGGCTGCTAGCGGCAGGCTTGGCTCAGGCTATTGGTTGGAGAGGATCTACCTGCGCCCCCTCTCACCATCCTGGACTGTAGGGACAGTGGCTTTCAGGGCAGGGCAGAGGTCCGAGCCCAACCCCCCACAAAACCCCGGCCCAGTCTGAGCGCCCCGCCCCTCCCCCAGAACGTCCTGGGCGGCCAGGACCAGCTGCGGATCCGCGTGACTGAGCTGGAAGACGAGGTGCGGAACCTGCGCAAGATCAACCGCGACCTCTTTGACTTCTCCACACGCATCATCACGCACCCAACCAAGTGACACGTCTGGACTCGCCCTCAGCCGGCAGAGCCCACGGCCCAAGCCTGTTCTCTGCAAGGTCCCATCGCTTGGATTGGCACCCCCACCAGGGTTGCAGTCGAGGGTTGACTGGCTGCCCTGCCGTGACCTGCCATGTCACATGGGTGCTCTGCTGTTTCTAACAAAAGACTTGAAATCCTACCTTTCGGCCTCCTTGTGCCCCCACCGGGCTGAGGACCCTCACAGTGGGACCTGCCGGGGGGATTCACCACAGCTATCACAGAGTCCGAGTCCCAGACATAACTACTAGAAGCCTGGGTCCTCACCTGCCGCCCCTGTGCAGCTCCCAGGGGGCTGGGCCATGGGCCAGGTCCCCAGGGGCAAGGGTAACTCAGGCACAGCAGGGTGCTCACACCAGGCCTGTCTCCCCAGCCTGGCTCTGGGCAGCTGACGCTGGGGTGGCAGCCAGTTCTGGGCCAGGGTCGTCTCGACCAGAAAGTTCTTGGTGTCAAGGGCCCGAAAGAGGCCAACCTCCCCTCCTCCAGCACCACACATACGTACACACTGCAGGGTAGACGGGGACACCGCTAGCTGCCATCCGGAACCTGGAACCCAGCCCAGACTTGGGCTCTGAGCCTCCCATGGAACCTTCCAGAAAGCTGCCCCTAAGTGACAGTCTGTTTAATGGTCCGGAAAATCCATGTGACTTAGCCGGTGCTATAGTAACTGCAGCTCCTGCTTTTAGCTGATGGGTGTCCTCTCCTGGGGCCCTGCAACCCCCTCACAGCCCACCTTGCTCTCAGACCTAGACAGGTTTACTTGGGGCCATCAAGTGAGGAGTCCTGCTGGCCTCCACATTGTAGTCACCCCACACAGAATAAGGTTCCAGCAGGCTCTGGGCTCCTGGTTGGTTCCTGGCAGCAGGGTGGGGGAAGGGGACCTAGGGGCTCAGTGTTCCCCTCCTTTCCCTTTGGTCTCCAGGGGCTCTGGAAGGTGGGAGGGCATCAGGGTTGGCTGAGGCTTCCCCGGGGCCTAGGGCTACCTTGCCTGCCTGGCACCATTTCCAGGCGCTGCCATCCTTTGCCTGGTGCTTCTCTGCACCCTGGCCACTGCACTCAGCTCATCGTTCAGTGACTTGGGAGGAGATGCCAGTTCTGGAGACCTGGGTACTGTTTTCTGTGTCTGGTCAAGTCCCAGACAGGAGCTGGCAGGGTCAGCCTCTGGAGTCACCTCCTCTGGCTCATGCTTCTTCCCTGAGCAGGAGGGGTGCTGTTGTCACTGCCAAGTTCCGGGGCACCTTGGCACAGCTGTGGACCTTCAGCTGCTGACTTGGGTCCTGGGGTCCCTCCTGGCTTGCCCAGGATATCTGTGGCTGCAGCTGAGGGGACCTTGGTCACTCATGGCTCCTGAGGGGCCGAGGGTGGTGCGCCCCTGGGTAGGGATGGTGGGGTTCCCACCCCGGGGTGGTCACTGTGATGACTCAGGCCTGAGAGGCAGTCCCAGCAGGGCCTAGGGAGAGCTTCCAATCAAGGCACAACCAGCCTCGCCCGAGCTGTCCTTGCCACGAGTCCATGGGGGCCTGGAAGGTCCCCTTTCCCCCTCCATAGGCCACACAGAGTCCAGAGAAGGTCCTGGTGGGCTGTAAGAGCTGGAGCCCACTGGCCCCTTTCCCTGAAATCCCCACGTGGCCACGGACAAGCCACACCTGGCCCTGAGACTGTGTTGTCACTCAAAGGAAACGTACCTCCTTGATTCATGAGGAGTCTTCAGGAGCCAGTGTGCAGCTGTGCGGGTGCCCAGCACAGTCAGTACTCCTGTTGCTTGTCTGAGAATCTGTAGAAAACCAACCTGACCCTGAATCCTGGGCCGTCACTGCCAGAAGGGGAAGTGCAGACTGCACCTGACATTCTCAGGTGACTGCCTGAGTTGATGGAAACCCCTCCTGACCAGGACAGCTGTTATTTAAAAAACAAGTGTCAGGATATGATGGAGGTGTCTTCTGAGCACTTGTGCATCGTTGGTGGGAAGGTGAAAGGGTACAGCTGCCCTGGCAAATAGTCAGGAGGGTCATCAAAAAGTTAAGTGTGTAATCACCATGTGTCCCAGCAATCCCACTACAGGTACCTTGCCCACAGAAATGAAAGCAGGAGGCTCGAAGAGATGTTTACACACCCGTGTTCACATCAGTGTGATTCACAGCAGCCAAAGAGTGGAGACAACCAAATTGTCAAAGATGATGGATGAGCAAGGGTGGTCCTTCTGCACGGTGGAATGTTACTCAGCCTTTAAAAAGAGATTCTGACACCCGCTACAACCTGGTTGGACGTGAAATAAACCAGACCCAGAAGTAGACACACTGATTCCACTCACTGGAGGTCCCTAAAGGAGTCAGATCCACAGAAACAGGAAGTAGATGGTGGGGCCAGGGGCTGGCGGAGGGGTTGGGGAGTGTTTCATGGAGACAGTTTCTGTTTGGAAAGATGAGAAAGTTCTGGAGATGACGGTGGGGCTGGTTGCACAACAATGTGAATGTGCTTAATGGCATGAGCTGTAGACTCTAGAAATGGTTGGAATGGTGAGTTTTGCATTATATATATTTTACCACATTTAAGGAAAAAACCTCGCCTGTGTTTGTGTGTGATGTGAACTACTACCAATGCCCTGTAAAGCTGGGAGCTGAGGCGCAGAGGCCAGGCACCCACCTCAGGTCACCCAGATGGGGGCAGTCCCAGTTTCCATCAGGGCCCTTCTTCACTGGCCCAGGAGATGGGGAGATAGTGGACAAGTGGGCCTGGTGGGAGGGGAGATGTGGGGGCTTCCGGGGCTGCCCCCACATGAGTCCCAGGAGGGCCTGAAGAGACTTCTGGCATGTGCCTGCCTCCTAGAATCAGCCCTAGCAATGTCTATTGACTGTGCTGAGGGCTATGTTAGGGTGAGGAAGTGTCCTTCCCCAGGCTGGGTCCCTATTTTGGAGGACTCATGCTGGCAAAGGCATCTCTCCCCATGATGGAGTAATGTCCTGGTGGTCCCTGAGGACCCTTTTCAACTTAGCACCTTACCCAGAAGAATGGGGTGAGGGAGGACTCCCTGGTATGACCGTCCTTGTCCTGGGACTCCTGGCCAGGTGGCTGGATGAGGTGGCCTTGTCACTTGGAAGCCAGTCAGCCACCCAGCCCTCATTAATCATCTCAAAATTCAATCTATGCTGCTGGCCGGCGCTTAACATTTTTATTCATCTAATGGAGTTTGTTCCCTGCCTCTTGAACACTGGCTCCAAAAGGAGTTTTTTTGGGTGTGGAAAAAAATAACTGAGTGTAGACTCATCCATTAGAGCTGGAATGATCTGGACTGATCTGCTGCCCTGTGCCCTGTGGGGTCTTGTCCTCCTGTGGAGGCTTTCTCTACTCACCCACCTGGGATGGGAGATGGGAGGAGTCCATGCACAGCGCCGCTCTGGCCCTTGACCAGTGTTCATTGAGCATCTGCTGCATGCCAGGGGCCGTTTCTCATGGGGAGGCACAGGGAACATAGGAGGCTGAGGTATTGGTAGGCAGCGGGGAGCTATGGAAGGTTCTAGAGCAGTCATGAAATCAAGTGTCCTCATCCAAACAGTTGCTGAAGCAGAGTGCCTACTGTGTGCAAGCACTGGAGACAGAGCAGTTAACAAGTCAGGCTCACCCCTGTCTCCCAGAGTTGCCCACTAAATAAATAAAGCAGCAAAAAGATGACAAGTGTGTGATGGAGTTAATGTAGGCAGGGGTGAGAGGGGGTGTTCTACATCTTTCAGGGAAATTTTTCAGTCAGGGACCTTTGGCTTTGGGTCTTGAAGGGTGAAGAGGAGCTGTCTGGGTCAAGTTTCCTGCCCACAGCTGGAGGGCATGACATCTGCCCTATAGGTTCCCATCAGACAAGTCGTCTTCAGTTTCCCCAGCTGCCCAGGATGGTAGAGCGCACCCAGAGGGGTCGGTCTGGGTAGACACTGCCTCCTGGCGGAGGGAGAAGTACTGCTGTGTGACTATGGAGTCACACCGACCCCTTCTGGGCCTTAGTTTCCCTGCCTTATCAATGGGAAATATTTCCAGGCTGGAGGAGGGGGATGAGGGATCCAGGGGTCAGTGTGGGGACCAATTTTGATGCAGAATCCCTCCCTGCTACTAACCTCATCTCAGCTTTCTCATCTGTAGAGTGGTCACAGAACCAGGGATAGTGGTGGTTAGACCCCACCCCCACCCCCGCCTATTGAGATCATCTGAGCCTCAGTTTCTCCCCCTGCGTCGTGGATCCGATTCCTCCCAAGTGGCTTACCTGGCACTGGGGGACCAGGAGGGGCGAGGGCGGGCGAAGGCGGGCAAAGGCTGGTGGACTCCGGCAGGGAGGGAGGAGTTGGCCCGGCAGGGGCGGAGAGGGTGCGGCGGGGGCGCGCGAGATCCTGCCTCCCGGAGTGCCAGCCGCGGCTCCGCCCCGTGGAGCCCGCCGGCAACTTTGGGATGGAGTTTGTGCCGGCGCTGTGGCTCGGCCTGGCGCTGGCGCTGGGACCGGGGCCCTCCGGGGGCCACCCGCACCCGTGCGGCGTCCAGGCGCGCCTGGGGGGCTCGGTTCGCCTGGGCGCTCTCCTGCCCCGCGCGCCCGCCGCCCGCGCCCGCGCCCGCGCCGCCCTAGCCCGGGCCTCCCTGGCGCCGCGGCTGCCCCACAACCTGACCCTGGAGCTGGTGGCCGCCGCTCCCCCCGCCCGCGACCCCGCCTCGCTCGCCCGCGGTCTGTGCCAGGCGTTGGCGGCACCGGGAGTGGCGGCCCTGATCGCCTTCCCCGAGGCGCGACCCGAGCTGCTGCAGTTGCACTTCCTGGCGTCCGCCACCGAGACCCCAGTGCTCAGCGTGCTGCGGCGGGAAACGCGCGCGCCCCTCGGCTCCCCGGTACGCGCGGGGACCCGGGGCCGGATGGGAGAGGCCCTGGGAAGCTCCCGGGGCGTGGGGTCCGGGGGTCTGGAGACAGTCCTTGGGACGCACGGGACTCGGACTGCT